GTCATTGCCTTGTCTCCTTCGCGCCAAGGAGTTCGTTAGTGTGTTGGATGAGCACAGGAGGTTGAGCTTCGTTGATCAGATCAGGTTACAAACTATAACACATTCATACTGCGACTGGAAAGGTAATCGTATGACAGGCCAACTGGGAAACCTGCCCAGCGTAAGATCCCGACCCAGTCTCAGCCCAGTCCCTTGTCTTTGTCCACACATTCTACTGTCTCGAATCATACACCTTAAACTAAGAGTACTCCGTAATAAGAACGCAACAAGAACCAGATGACGTAACACAAGCGGGTAGAGTCATTTCCTCTGGCGCATCACTAGGCTCACCCAGGATTAGACTAAGATCGAGAGGCTTCTCAGAATGGAATTGTAGGACTTCTGCGGTCATTATCACCAGGCAGTTATTTAAGACATGGCCTTATTCAGAGGCACTCTAGATTCTCCTGAGTTGCTCATGGATTACTCATGGATTGCTCATGGATCGCTCATGGATTACTCCTGGGAGGCTCCAGAACTCCCTTAAGCCATCATCAGGTCTCTCTACCACAGTGGTTCACGATTCAACCTCTATTGCTTGATAAATGTCAACTAGACGCGCTAATACATAGAGTGTTGCACCTGAGTGAGTGCCCTCTTCTCTCTTTACAAATGCGAAGAAGCAATGCATGAGACGTCGATTCGTCGGTTTCATCGCAAACATACTAATAACAAAGAGTATAATCACTCATTCCATACTCTACTAAGTGAATACCTTTACGGTACCTCCTGCGCTTTGTCTCTTGCCATACATTGCCCTGTACCTTCCCTTGAGTTCCAATTCAACGATTCATCATTCTTATCAAAGGAGCAATTCTCCCCAGAGATCTCCTCACAATTTAAGGGCAGACATCTTTTTAGCAATGGAGAGAGTTTAGAGGATGCTTTATCTACGGGGACCTAAGGACAATGGTATCGAGTGCTGATAATACATACTAGCGGGGCTTCATATTCACCTGTTGTGCACTCCTAGTCTGTACACATGACGGACTTCTATCCAATTCCTTGTGTCTGCTCAAATTACAATAGGTTATTCTTACATTTGTCTATCGCACCCTAGTTGACCGCAGACTGTATCGTGAATATCCTAGTTCATTTTCTATTCGGCACTCCAGACAGACAGCAGTACCACTAGTGTTTCCCCATGTGCAAGAGCGGCTCTGGGAGCTTCGAGTAGTTGGTGTTGACCGCCTGGGACAGCGCTGGCGTCAAGAAGTAGGATTGCGGAGCTCCTTTACCTTTGTATAGTAAATGGCCTGCAGCGTTCCCTTCTTTCTGCCGGGAAATTTAGCTATAATCTCATTCCATGTAAGACCTTGATCCCTTAGCTCCAGCAGATATTGCTTTTGCTCAGAGGACAGACGAGCTACTGCAGCTGTAGAATTGGTGGGTGTTTACTTCTCCTTATTGCCCTTGGTGCTTGGAGCTAGCATTTAAGAGGGAAATGCATCCACAGGCCCATGGACGATGGTAAGGGTCTGAATAACTTGGCCGTTGAATACATGAAAGGAGGACTTTCCAAGGCCGATAGGAAAGCTTGCATTCTAGATGTCAATGGAAAGAGTTGACCTGTCCAAGCGCCATGCTTTACTGGTGTCCTCGGAATGAGAACAACTCGAAATCGGACGATTGGTGGTGATTGCCAAGGTTTTAGCAGAAGATTTGGTCCTCGCTAAGGGACGACAATGCCGAATCTCTACATGAGAGAACTTAAGATACCCCTCCGGGAAAGGTCGAAGGCTGACGGAATTGGGAGCTCTTTGTGTAGTGTTGGGCTCGTTTGGCTGTAGTCTTGTGCCATGTACAGAAACAACACTGTCACCGTCACGATTTTCAACATAGCCAGCTCTTAGAGTTGATCAATGATAATTAGATACTGTATGGCTGCAAGTATCCTATAGGACTACCAGGATCCTCCTATAGATTCTATTAGTCAGTGTAGTCTGCCTTAAAGCCTGAACCTTCTCTAGGACCTGCTACATAAGAGTTCTTATGTTCCTTCATCCTCCTTTTTCCTCCTACATGTATAATAATAGTGTCATCTTAACTGAATAACTTAATGCAATCTAAAGACTCTATCATTTTACCTCATTGAATAAGTCATCAAAATATTTAACCCAGATCCCCCTGCCTGTGAAGGATGTGGTGCTATAGGACCATATATTACTTTAAGATGTCTATACTGTCCTTGCGCGTACTGTTATAAGGAGGGACATATCATAGATAAGTGCCCTACCTATCCTGTCTGTTAAACCTGCTATTAGAAAGGCTATAAATCTGAATGCACTGAGAGAAAGTATTAGTATTAGGAAATAGTTGAAAACCCTACACCCCACAGACATTAAGGTGCAAGGTCCATATTTTCAGTAAATCCTTAACCTCATAAGCCTCAGAGCTCAAAGACAGGTATTTAAACTTCTATATTGCAGAAAACCCTGTCATAGCTAGTAAATTTTTTAACTAAGTATAGACTGCTGACGTCCAATTCACAAGCCCTAACTAGTGGGACAGGAAGACTAATTAGTAAGGCTACTATAATCCATCTTTAGTATAATGCTAAGAATTTTCAGAATGCCTACCTCATCACACTGGAAATTAAATTCCCAGGTCTCAAACTAGCACTTAGTATCATTATGGACCATCTATTAAGGTAAGCTGATGAGAATATAAGGCACATCCCATACTGAAATATTATTAATTCCGTGGGAAAAGAGGATCTTATTAAAGTACTCTTTAATGGTATCTGTCCAGAAATCAGGAAACTAGAAGGGAAGAAGATAACCATTAAAGAGTATATACCCCCACTATTATAGCATAGGTTGATCTTACAAAGGATCTGACCTGATTAGACTTTGTTACGGTCTTTTCTTCCATGCACTTCCCTTTCTAGTTTCCTTGAGGTTATACCCACCTGACATATTCCCCTAAGAGAAGTGGTTTCTTTCCGCTATGAAATCAGTGGCGTGACTTGATTAGTTGCGCAGCTTGGTGTTCCCCTCTTTTAGGCAGCATGAGATGCATATCTCTTGCATGGGTCCTTCAGCTGATGAGTTGTCCTCGTATTCAATTTCAAATCATTGATTACGCTCAACAAGGACTTAGAAGTTTCTTAGGGAGGCTATATGTTAAATAGAATGCTTCATGAAGGATTCTTGAGGGTTCCTCAAGAAACAGTCTTGCCATAATTTGACTTGGTACCTTCTTCCTTACCTGACTGACAGGCCTTCTACCCTGCACAGTAGACACCTTAACAGTAGGATTTATACTAATTCCTATACTCTTAATTATAGTAGTAAATACTATCTTACAGATGTCTCTAGAAATTTACACTGAATAAATATCTCTAATGGTCTTGATTGGACGGCTCGCTATTATGATGGCGGTGAGCATTTCACGGAGACATAAATAGTGACTCCCTCGTCTTTCGTTCCCTCATTTCCTAACACCTAATTGAATCCCCTTTTCTTCATCGCCCGGGACATTTCTTTCTATCATGATGGCCGGAAAAGCGTCGGATGAAGGCTGCGTCGCATGTGGATGGACGCCTGACAAGCAATCGCGATGTTGTTATTCCAGCCACGTTAAACTTATCTACGGCGCACATGATCGGGGCGTATGGTCGATCGGCACTGATCTGATTCTCAAAGAGCGCCCTGACGATGGTCCGAAGAATGAAGCGAAAACACTGAAGCTCCTTGCTTCTTACACCAATATTCCAGCACCGGAGCTTGTCTGTGACTGGGTCGATCGAAACCGCCGTTACTTTGTGTTACAAAAACGAATGGACGGTGAGACACTTGAGGACGTCTGGCCTATATTGTCGCACAACCAGAGGGTCGCAATCGCAGACCAGGTAGCTGGCATCTGCAAGCATCTACATTCCATTACGTCCTCGAGCATACAAAGTGTTGATCAGACCGCCTGCTCTCCGGCGTTGCTTTTTTTCAATTTCGAACCTCGTGGGCCTTTCCACTCTGACCTTGAACTTTGGGATGCCATAAGCCTCACCCTTCATAATCCACCCGAAAGATCATTCCCTCAGCAAGCGTTGGACAACTTAACGAAGTGTTTCCCTAAATGCGCACCTTACGTCCTCACCCATTGTGACCTCAACATAGGAAATATCATGGTTAAAGATGGGCAGCTTGTTGGCATCCTTGATTGGGAATATGCAGCATACTATCCTATATGGTATGAATATGTCTTAGCAACTTGGGGTTTCACTGAGGCAGATGCAGAATGGAGGAGGTTGTTACGTCAGCGTCTTGATACACATGAAGATGCAAAGAATTTCTGGATGGACCTGTATCATTTGCGAAATTATCCAGATTTGGACGAGAAAGGCCAGGAAGTCTTGGAAAATTTGTCTGCGGAGTCATGACGGGTGTTCTTTTCTTACAAGATTTCGATATATTATAAAGCCTGTCAAAAACACATATAAGCTGGAAGCAAAACCAGGAAGATTTCTATGTGGTTGCTTGCAACCATTACAAAATTCTCTTCCATTACTGGTCGACCAGTCAGCCTTTAAACAAAAAATCATGAGCCGTACGTAGGTCGTCAGTATGGTAGGTTAGCGCGCTTTCTACCAACTTCGCAAGACCAGTTATTAGATAGTATTGGGCCCCTTCGAGTTGTTTCCCTCAATGGTCAAGAAATCGAAGCTGGAAAAGCAGGAAGGAAAACTATCTTGTTTGGTACAAAGAACGTCTGCACGCCAAGATCACAAAGCGCCGTTCTTCCAAGTGGTCTCCTCGGTTTTGGTTCAAGCGCACCACTCACAGAAGGGGGGGAAAGGTGAGAAAAAGAAAAGCGGCAGTCGAGGCAGGCAGCCTCTCTCCCAACGAAGCAAAAGCGGGGTTTTGTCAGCGAACCCCCTACTACCAGACTGATCCAGGTTATGTTATTATTTTCTGGGCAACTGGGACTCTATCACTCCTCATGCTCTTCCAGTCCGCATCATGTCGGGTTTTCAACTAGCATTGGACTACATTGACGCGGGAAATGAAGCGGAAATTTTACAGCATCGTGAAAGGGCTCTAGATGCCATCAAAAAGCTAGAGGAGGTCCTGGGTCTCACCCAGAGAGTTGAGCCCGGGGTACCATCTGAGTCTATGTCTATCGAACCCGATGTCGAGCAGCAACCTCAGCAGTTGTCCGAGAAGATACTTGCTAGAATAGACAAAAACCTCGTCAGCATCGTTTCCTACGCTCGGAAACCCCCGGAGACTGCAGTCGCGCCAGCACCGCAAGAGCGCGAAGATCCTAGAATTATTGACGCACAGATCTACTATGGCGCGAGGAAAAAGACGACAAGTATGATGTTCAGGACAGCATTAGCTATCAGATCTATTAGTATGGAATTCGCAAGGTTTGGGACTAGACTGGCTTACCCAATCCACAGATCCACACCCAACCCACCCAATCCACGCTATGGGTTGGATAAGGGTTGGCCCTGATCCAACCCACATGGGTATGGGTGGTTGATACCCAACCCAGATGGGTGTAGATAAACCATTTAGGTACATGTGACTAGCAGAATTTAGTGGGTATATAGGTTTTATAGTTTATCTATAATATTCTCTTAATAGGAGATTATTCCACCTACTAAAAGTAGTATAGTTTAAAATTATATGCTAATTATAGGTAAAAGAGGTTATCTATAATCCAACCCATATAGATTAGGAGGTGGATAACTAATGTCATGGGTTTCCCTAAACCCATATGGGTTGGGTTGAACCCCATGTGGATTAACCCATATCCACCCCACAGCCAGTCTATTTGGGACAGCCGTACACCGCCCCGCATAGTTAGCCTTGGGTCTAGGATAAATGGAGAGCATTTGTTTCGTTTGTGCCTTGTGCTAAAGATATGACGTAAGACCAAATAAGGGGTCCTCAACAACGCCAAAAGTCGATCAGTTGAATGGCTAATTATCAAAGCTGGAAGGCTGATCTAGCTTTACCGAGCTTTAGGTTTAGGCTCCAAATAGTAAGTCTACTACTATGATACATTTACCGTTCGAATCTCGTCTCTACTATTGTGGGTTACACCAAGAGTAGCTTTAGTGGAGCAGATTCCGTGCGCAACTATTGCGTCCTTATTGGCGGAGAAAGAGCCAATTCCACTTTTTCCATCCCCGACTGTTTCAGGGGACAACATAAAGGAGTTCGAAGACCGCCATCTCCATTGAAGCGACAGCCTACTATTTATCCTAGCACCATGTTAAAGACCCGACGCCTTCTTCGACGGGAGATCACCTATGCATCTGCCAAGGAAGAGGAGGTTAACATTCTTCATCAACTTGGATACCATGATAAGCAAACCAGATTTTTTACACACCTCTACAACAACAGAGACTGGATCAAGACCATCGTTGCGCATCATCTGAATTTGAGCTCACCTGCTGTCTGCCGCGTGTTCGAAGTGGAGGACTGGCTGCATGGTAGCTTCAACGTTTGCATTCCTGTCATACTCAGCAATAGTGATGGAAAACGTGTGCTTGTGCGTTTTCCGCTACCATACCGCGTCGGCGAGGATTTCATGCCCGGTAATGGAGACGAAAAGGTCAAATGCGAGGCGGGCACATACGCGTGGCTCGAAAAGAACTGCCCCGACGTGCCAATCCCGCAGTTATACGGGTTTGCTCTCTCTACCGGTGAAACTGTACATATATGCACGCATGCCTTCCTCTACCTAACTAATTCGTCTAGTTTACTCGGTTAGAAAACTTGCCGCTCTTGCGCCAGTGGTTACAATCTCTTCAGCGTCGGATTCGCTCATGGCTAGGGTATCCAATCCCTTCTGAATATGTTCCCCACCCTGTTCGATGCCAGAACGCCGTTCGCTCCGCGTACTTGCTGCTTGAATACATTGAACCAAAGCGCGGCACTATGCTTTCAAATACGTGGATGGACAGCAAATCCGATGTCAAGCTACGGACAAACCTCTTTCGTGGCCTCTCCCGCATTCTCTTAAGCATCAGCCGACATCCGCTCCCCAGAATTGGTTCGTTTGTTATCGACAAAAACGGGTTTTTGGTTTTAGCGAACCGGCCACTCTTGATACAAATTCAACAGCTGGAGAATGAACAGATACCGACGGGCATAAATCGCGAGTACACATATTCAACTGTTGACTCATACGTGGCGGATGTCCTTACGTTCCATGACAACCGTTTTCGGTATCAACCAAATGCGGTGAATAATCTTGGAGATTGCGTTTTCCAGCTATCTTCACTCTCAGCAATGCGGACAGTCTCCAGTTCCTTTTTCCAAAGAGGGTTTCGACGCGGCCCATTTGTCTTCTCTCTAACGGACATCCATCAAAGCAACATATTTGTCGACGCAGATTGGAATGTAACGTGTCTAGTAGATTTGGAGTGGGCCTGCTCTTTACCGATCGAAATGATTAGACCTCCGCATTGGTTAACGGGCAAGGGTGTGGACGAGTTAGTATCGTGGGAGTATGATGAAATTCGGAGAGAATTCATGAACGTCCTGACTGTTGAGGAAGAGAGACACAGACTGGCCGCTTCGAGAGGGAATAGCCTGCCACTACTATCAGAAGTCATGAATAGAACGTGGGCAGCAGGAACTTTTTGGTATACTCTGGCCCTCTCTAGCCCTTCTGGCCTATTCGGGATTTTTAAGCATCATATCCGACCCTTATTCTGCACAGAATATATCGAAGAATTCAATTTGGTAATGCCTTTTCTTTGGGAGAAGAATGTGGGACACATCGCGAGTTGCAAGCTGTCGGATAAAGAGGAGTATGACAGACAACTTCAAATAGAATTTGAAACCGAATTGGAGTGACAGAATTTCTTCCCAAACACGACCTCTTAAGAGGAGCCTTGACTTTCGTCTCCCTGTTTCAAATGGGCTTGGATAGCTCCACCTATCGCCCGCATTCCTTTCTCCACCTGGTGTTCTTCTCGTTTCTTCCTGGCAGCTTGACCCGAAGAGCTGAGTTGCTGAAGGGTTCTGACATCGGCTTTGATTCCAACAACGGCCTCTCTTTCCTTACTTTGGTCGGATGAAGCTTGGTCGGCCATTTCGAGATGCCGTAACGACTATGTTCGGTCTACCACACTACAGTAGAACTCTAATATTAGGCCTCAGACTTCTTTTACAATCAACCTTTTACTCACCTTATGCCATCAAAATGAAAATTATTAAGCGTGTTATTGTTAAGGGCATACTATAAAATGTTTCAGATAGAAAGAGGAGTTACTCCCAGTGATATAGTCTAAGTACGCTTGCTTCCGCTACATGAGGGAGAGTCATATTAGCGGGGCTACGTAAAGAAGACTGGTGCCTCCAGAGCTAGGAGAATGCGCTATTAGTGCTTTGTTATTATATCGGAACTAACTGGAAGATCTGTGAGCAATAAATCTGCAGAGAAAAGCTGTAGGGCGTCTACTCGTACACTGCAGTGCGTCGCCAGGGGTTCAGGTCATCCGAGCTTCTCACAAAGCTGACATGACCCCAAACGCGCGACCAAATTCTCACTCCCAGCTGATCTGCAGCTACGACTGGTCGCCCTCCTTAACCGTTGATGTGCTGGTGATCAACGGGTCCGTAAGAATCGTTCTCAACAGAAGCTATTTTTAGCCTACGCAAACATCAATTGTTGACCATAACCAGGCGTATATGCCACAAAGCCGCCAACACATACCTTATGACTCTAATCTCTCGTGGAGGTATATATCAGTATGCATGGTTTACCTTGCACATCCATAAACTCCACAAATGGTCAGGTGGATTTGCAATAGCTGGCAGTAGCATTCAAAGAAGATGGGCGTCAAACAGCCAGTTGTAGGGGATCAGGTTTGAGATGGTTAGCATCAAATCCCACATATCAAGCAAAGATCTCCCATAAGACTATCAGCTTCGCTCCCTTTTCAAGCTCCATTCTACAGATAACTAACTTTTTAACTTCATTCCAAATCTTTCTCTTCTTAGTTTCTTGATTCCCTTGGCCTTGAAAATGGGCAGTTGTGCTGAATCAGATATTAACACAATGAGAACTACAAGGACTTTAGAGGAAATGGGCATCGACCTAAATAATAATACAGAGAGCTTTGTTTCCTGTTGCATTACTGCTTAGTTATTTGCGACTATCTCACCAAAACTAATACAGATACCAAAAACTCAACTCTACCTCCTAGTAGATGTTGGGTATGGTACTGCCAACTTCCTGGTTGCCCAAAATACTACTCAGCATGGACTTGCAAAACCAATTTCCTCCTTCACCTCTATAAGACACTAATACATCGTGAGGACGACAATACAATGACACATGGAAGTCGACGTACACTAGCAAAAAGATGGAGGAAGGAAACTGCGTATGATCTCAGCGAGCCAAAAGAATCACCACCACAACATAATGACGATGAAGGTGGGAACACATGAAATTGGCGCACAGAATTACATCGCCTCAAGAGCCCGCAGACGAACTGTTATGTGTTATAGTACAAGTTCACGGGAGGGGATTTCAAGTTGCTTATCTTCACTGTCATTTGGCTTCAGATCCGTAGCGAGCTAGCTTCCCTGTAGGCAAATATCTTAGAGGCTTGCTGGCCACCTTGCCTGGAAGGGGCCAATGTTAGACTTGCTTATTCCTCTACCAATCAATTCGCGATATGGCAGCGATGTGCTGTCCTCAGGAGGTACAGCTACTGCTTTTGAGGGGGGTAGCCCTTCACCCAAATAAGTGTTTATAAGCCTATCTAAGGCCAAGTTCCGAATTCTCAACGCAAGCTTTCGACATCCTAAAATCCCACAGATTCAAGAATGCCACGCAAAGGACGCAAAGCCGCGGAATTGTGGTCGCTTCACCCAAAGCTTCATGACAATGTAGCACAGTTATTAAACGAGGAAAGGCCTTCAACTAGACTTCTTCGACGCCGATGATGAGGAAACCAACATCGAGGAACGGGACACGAACGTTATGGGTCGATTCATATGCCCAAATAGCGGATGTCACTCTAGCGGTTGGTCGAGCAAAAAGATCGCGATTACCATTCGCATGTAACCCCGACGGTTATATAATGCGCGAGTGTATCACCAACGATGCAAAAATTACAGAGCCGTTGGTCGGCCAGTCCTGGATCATGGGTGCTATGCGGAAAGAGTAACATACTGGCTCAAAAAATGGAATGGAATTGAGGTACAGCGACCCAACTATTCTGGTCAGAGCAGAGGTCCGCATGATAGTGAGCTGAGTGAGGGATGTAGAGCTGGTCATTGTCCCAACTCGAATGAGGATTTAGCATCAGTCCTGGCTAGGTAAGTTTCATATCAGGATTTCTTTTATATACTAACCAACCATTCTAGATTGTCTATCTGAGCACTGCGGCTGAGGTTGTTCAAGTAGAGCTGGCATACGGTACAATTCGCAGCCGTCTCCATACTTCATGGCCTTGCTTCTATCTCTCCTATTATTATTTTTATATTACCTTCAGATTATCCTTAGTCCTATTTGAATTATTATATTACTTATGAACCCTATACCTATTTAGGATATCATTAGGCTACCTGGATAGTAGGCCTTAGGCAAGTATAGAATATAGTCCAAGGACTATATCGCCTGTTGCCAAAGTAGTGACTAGCAGAGAACAGCAGAGATTGATCCCAGGGTGTGACAGATATACTATTTATATTAGCTAATATTTCTCTATTTTTTAATATATTTCTTATCTTAATATCTTTGTTTTTAACTCTTAAGTAGTAGTATAACTGTATAATCGAAATTTAAGAGTAGTAGTCTCTAAAACTACATTTACATTTCTATTCCATTTTTTCTACTTTAGATATCTCTACTAATCTTTAATTATTTTGATAATAATGCTACATAAAATGATGAAAGTTGAAACAGTTAGCTAGCAGCCAAAAATGGCTACACTTGATGCCGTTTTACAAGTCCAACTAATGCTCAGCATCTTTGGCGTTATATATAATAATCACACACCTAACAGGTTTACCACCATGGCCTAATGCTATTTGGTTTTCCCCTGTTGCTTGTGGCCCTGATCCCTAATATTTAACTATCATGCTACTACTGTCTAAGTGCTGGTTTATTAGCTATACCTTATTTCCCTTAAGGAGGGGAGCTATTTTTAGCTCCCCTTATGACCATCTTATTTACCCTAATTCAATAAGTGACCTGGATAAAGGACTCTTCCTGGTCCTTTCTGCGACCGCATGTCGTCTGTACCCCGTGTCGGGATTGAGTAATTGCGCGCCTGCTGCCTTCCTTAGAAGTGGTAGCTGTTTCTCAGGCTCCCTCTCCGGAATCAAACCCTAATTCAGCTGCTACCAGCTCCTTCGCTAGTTAAGGCGGCCGATGACCCGATGACAAACCAGATCTTCCCGGCCCCCATGCACGAAAGCATGTCTGATCTTTCTGTGTATACTCTGGCAAGCGAACTGGAGGAGGCTTTTGACGAGAACCCCCGAGGAGGAGGACAGGGGAAGTGGTGTTGGGAGAAGAGTCCCTTTGTGATTTACGTGAACACTCTATTGGATGCTTACAGCAAGGAGCACAGCATTTCACGACAGTTTTGATTGTCCTTGGATATAGATTATGGCAAGGGCAACATGAATTAGGACTTGGGCTTCAACGGATACGAGTGGGATACCTCAATGCAATCTCTCCAGGGCACACGAAGTTTTATCTTATACATGCCATAAGCAAAGTCCCGGCATTTATTAGCATCGAATTACTGTCCATTGTGGTTATGTGTTCTGCAGCAGACTAATTCGAGCGATTGTCGTCCGCAGAGAGATGGACTCCAACCTAGACCATAATGGCTCACGGGGAATGCGTCCGCCAGGACTAGCTTTATTCAGGCGCTGTTATTTCAAAATTGGTACACGCCGGAATCACTAGGGGCGGAATATCTGAACAAGTGAGAGTCGTGGACGGTAAACAAAAATGTTATTGGTTGATGTTGACTTCAAGCCCTGTCGACACTGTTATGCGGGTGAGGCAGTAGTCCGTCGACAGAGGACAAAACACATCCAGTCTGCTGCAAAATCAGCTTCTGCCTCCGTCCCCTACATGTGGTATCTCGGCATCGGCAGTGGATATTGTACGGTCACTGATAGAACGAGAATGAATAGGGACTCCGATTGTCAATCGTACGGCATTAAACAGACTGTAAAAGTGCAAGCTAGGCCAATCCAGAGCCAGAGCTTCAGCCGAGGGCTTGGCGTTGACTTTTCACAGTCCTCTGGCATGTAATAGTTAGCGTCTATGAGGTCAGCTGTCTCATTTGCTGGAGAGTAAGAGGAAGACTCAGGTGTGGGTGACTGTTCAGCCCGACTGTGGAGAAACACGAACTGGTGTGCCTAATTTTGCGGGGTTTTCATCACACTTCCCCTCTGGCATCGGAAAATTCAGCAGAAATCAGCTTCGGTCTTTGCCGTATCACGATCAATGTATATATCTGGAGTTCGCGTAGACGAGTCCCAATCTAGCCAAACTCGCAAACACAATCTTCAGCCCGGCACTTCGCGGACGGACAAAATAGCTACAGTGATATCGCATGGGCGCTCTCGGCTATCTTTGATGGATGGCAATTCGAATGTATTCAGCAAAGCAATTCCGCTTCGGCCGCTCCTTAATCTGGCGCTTTGAGTCATAATTTGCATAGGCTTTGATTTCCTTTGCTACTGCAGGGGACTATATCCAGGAGACTGGTTCCACCGCTACTTCTAAATGCATCGCATCTATGATCCTTGCCGCTTGAGGCTATCCAACCCGCAAGTATCAATCGACGGATTATCACCCTCGGTTTTGCGTGCCAGTGACCCACATGTGATAAGTACTTCCATTTCTATGTGCCGTCCGGTGAAGAAGAAATGAAGGATGCTCTGTTGCCTTTACCAACACTCAAAGTGGGTCGGGATGCGGAAAAGGATCCCCTCGTTTAGCAGAAGACTAGAGGACGTCGCGTGCATACGAGAGAGGAGTTGAAGGATTGACGTTACATCGACTCGAGGATTGCATGTGATGGACTCTCATCGTCCTATCAATTGGACAAGGATATGAATTTGTATAAACGCAGTATGGACGCTCAAAAGAACGAGCAGTCGCAACCTTGGAGTTTCCGACAGCGTACCCAAGATGCATTGGGCAATACAGCTTTGGATAGTGTCGTTTTCCTTGGGCGTTCTCGCTCTTCCAACCGGCCGAGATGCGCTTGATCATCCCCTCGAAGACCCATTCTATAGTGCTCCGAAAGGATTCGAATCCACTGCTCCTGGCACCATTCTGAGATGGCGAAATCCGCCCCATCCTATCTCAGCCTTTGGCTTTGCCCCGATCAATCTTGCTGCTTCTTATCAGCTTCTGTACCGCTCAACGGACTCCTTTGGTGAGCCCATTGCGGCTGCCTCGACCATCCTCGTCCCGCACAATGCAGACTACACCAAGCTGCTTTCTTTCCAAGTAGCCCAGGACGCAGCCAACCCCAACTGCGCCCCTTCGTACGGTTTCCAGCTTGACTCAGCCACCGACGATGAGCTGGGGATGATCATGCCCCAAGCGGAGCTGGTCCTGATCATCGCGGCACTGGACAAAGGCTGGGTGGTGACTGTGCCGGATCACTTGGGTCCAAATGCCACCTTTCTCGCAAATAATCTTTCAGGACATGTGGTGCTTGACAATGTCCGCGCCGCGTTAAGGTCGTCTACATTTACAAAGATCTCTCCCAAGGCCACAATCACGCTTTGGGGATATTCCGGGGGAAGCCTGGCGAGCGGATTCGCTGCAGAACTTCGGGCGTCGTATGCGCCAGAGCTCAACATCGCCGGGGCGGCGCTAGGAGGGACAGTTCCGAAGATCATGCCGGTGTTCAGCTCAGTGAATAAGGGCATCTATGCAGGACTCCTTCCTGCGGGGATGCAAGGCCTCTCTAATGAATACCCAGCCATCGAACGAATTCTTTATGATCATCTCGTTCCCGCTAAAAAGGCAGACTTCGTTAAGACCAAGAACCTGTGCGTCGTCGGAGACCTACTCAAGTACTCATTTCAGGACTTCTATGGGTACATCACAGACCCGAATATGCTCAAAGATCCTGAAGTGACACGAGTTCTCGCTGAAAATGCAATGGGACAGCATGTGCCTGACATTCCGTTGTTCATCTATAAATCCGCCAACGATGATGTGAGTCCGGTCGGTGATACAGATGCCCTGGTTTCTGGCTACTGTGGTGCCGGCGGGAAAGTCGAATATCACCGGGATGAGCTGTCAAATCATGCGACAATGGCGGTCATCGGCGTCCCGAATGCGCTGTTGTGGTTGCAGGATCGCATGAACGGAGTTTCTGCTCGTGCCGGCTGCAAGACGCAAACCGTCCTGACAGGACTGCTGGATCCGCGAACCTTAGCCGTCCTGGGTATCGATTTGATCAAGATCCTCCTGGCCTTGTTGTCGGCACCTGTTGGGACATTTGTAATTGGATGATTTGCAAAAATCCATGATCCTATATAACAACGCGGCATGTTTCGGGAAAATAAGAATCGAAACCTCAGACATCAGAAAGATGTGTAAAAGCCCATTTTGCCTTCACTTATACAGTGCAGCAACAGATTAAACGATACTTACTTGTCCTTGGCTGGAGTTTCACTATGACATGAACGACAAGTCGTCACCGCAAGTTACATTACCTTACTGGAAGTGGAAGATAATGGTACCTTAAACAATTGTGTACTTCCCCTTGGGAGAGAATTAGCTTCAATTATATTCCAAAATTGATCCATAACTAATAGTAAGCAAAGTTTAATAGTCAAGCATCTACAGGGTCCAAGTTAAGGTATGAGGTATAGTATAGACATATAATCATACTTGTAAGCCACAGCCTCCTGAATATGTATATACTTGTAGGTAACAGAAATTACACCTATATCTTTGATAAAATTAGCTTCTTAGACATTTAGATAGAGAAATAGTATTTTACAGCCTTGTGAAGTTGTGAAAGAGTATTCAAATACTCTGGACTATATATGCTCTGAATATATTGCTTATATAAATAGCATATATGAGCATGATTGAGAATACCTACATTAGTTAACTATTCCCAGGTGAGAATTGCACATTGCATAGCTAAAGGTAACAAACTGCATCAAAGCTGTCCCCTTCCTTCTTCAGTCAGAGATTAGTCTCTCGGTATTATCCTCCGCCGACCGATAGAAGCCCAGCGCCGTGATCATCGGCTTATCATCGAAGCGGTAGAGATAGACCGTCTTACCCACCTCATGCTGGTAGGCATGCGGCATGCCAGGAGGGCACACAGAAGGTGTCTGCCGCCTTCCATTCCAGCGTTTGGCCTCCGACTTCCGAGCGACCCTTGCCGGTGGTGACATGATAAACAGCGGACAGGGTGTCTTGCCGGCGCGAAGACGACGTGCTCGCATTCAGCCTCTCTATGTAACCGCCCAGCACACGACTCACTGATCGTTCCCCCCTCCGTTAGTCCCAACCGTGCGGAAGGGGGCATGGCGTCGGGGAGTGTTTTACCTTCTCGGCCTTCGGCTTCAGATAGCGCTGTGTGGCCTAATTGCCCTCCGTCCCATCCAACCGAGCCTTCATCTGGTCTCAGGGAAAGACAATGGGAGAGCCAGACGTGTCGACATCCTCGGCCTGGGAGCGAGGCTCGCTAAAGTGCTCGACAAAATGGACCGGAAAGTGTCGGAAGTTGGGCAGATCCAGGCCGTCCAGCCAGATCATCGTGCCGCTGCCATCCTTGCCATGGTCATGGTAGTTCCCGGAATCATTACCGCGCCCTCGAGCTGCCTAGCTCTATCAAGGCGGGTGCGGTCCACATTAATTCCATGACCGTGCATGACGAGCCAACTCTGCCTCATCGTCACCCTGCATCCGTAGGGTCGACCGGAGTGAACATTGGCTGGATCGTGTTGGACTCAATAAACCCCTTTTGCTCCAAGTTCTGCAGTGCCCGATAGTAAGATGGGAATACTAAGGCCGGAACAAACTTTGTTGTGTGGGTTAAGTTTGAATAAATGGCATAATCTCCAGAGTATGCCGTCACCAATCACGCAACTGAGCAGTGAATGAGTGCCCGCCAAAGTCTCGAATCGCGGGTACAATTGGATCTTAGATGAGGAAAACAAAGATTGTGAAGTTTTCGCCACGGCCAGCGGGCGATTTGATGCTGCCAACAGACATGGCCGTCTATCTACTCAAAGAGAGCTTCTTGAATATAATGGCCACTTTTCCAAGCAGTCTCTTCACACGAGCGAGTCGCGTGGCTCCGCTACAAGGCGTGATACCAATCCTCCCGTCCAACTCACTCCAAAGCACATCGATCTGTCTGGCAGATAGCAAACCCAGGGTACCCCCCTCAGGCATCCCACTGATGCCTAGAGCACGTTCCATCCCCTCCAGTCGGTGAACAGTGACGTTACAGAAGAGTAGACCCTGCATGCATGGGTTTTCTAGGGGTAACCCTCCAAAGGTGATGCCTGGGATAGTGGCGATAGGGTCAATGGCGAGTCGCGCGATGCGGGCAGTTAGGTGCTCAAGAAACAGCTCGTAGAGAGCAATGAGCTGGCTAAAGATACTTGTGACGGTCAGGGAGAGAGGAGCTAGCAATGGTTGCGCGGCGGCGAATGGGTAGGTCAGAGAAAACGCGGAGGTCGGATCATGGCGGTTATTGTTGGCGGATTGCAACGGCACTGTGAATGGATTTTGTGAGCTGCAGAGCCGCTGCAGTATCTGCAAGAACACTTCCGACGTGTTCAACATGAACTCGGCCAATGTGTAATTGTGAATAAACAACGGGCTTTCTCGGTAGAGGATGCTATTCAGGTCTAGAATCGCCTTGTACCTTTCAGTAGCTGTGATGCGGATGTGTAAGTCAATGTTGATCTTAGAAAGTTTGGCTATGGCGTCTGAGCTCTCAATATCGCCCGCTGGACTGCCTCGTCCCAGTACTGGCAGAGTATCTGGAGCGCAATTGATGGTAATAGCTGCCGGATCGAGCAAGTGAACACCTGTGTCTGTGAAGTCGAAGGTCGAGTCGAAGTCGGGCAAGAGAACGTCGCGATCAAAGAGATGGCCAACCTTCCCAGTGAGCGAGTCATCATAAAACGAAGGCATTCCAGTGGTCGACCCTATTGGTGCCGGAGAGAAGGCATCATCTGCTGCTGTCACCCGAGACGGTGCTGGTGTTGGCGTGGCTGCTGGCGAGACCATTCGGCTGACTCCGGGCCAGTCATAGACCTCTAGGAACGAAGGAGTCCCCTGGGATTTTCCATGAGGGTTAAGCCGGCTCTGCCGCTCGAATATACTACTTGGCGGCTCTTTGACGCTTGGTCTTGACTTTAGTCCTGGCGTTTTGGGCGCATCAGGGGCAGAAACCGCCGCTCTCTTCGGCCTCCCAACTTTCCTCTGTTGTCCGATAGTACACGCTGCACCAAGCGTCGTACACCGTGCGCATTTAGCGGCACTTTCTTGTATGCGCGTACATCTCGACTTATGTTTCCTGCAGAGCTCACAAGAGAAGCGCCTCTGCGATGGATGGATGGATGTGGCCCCCATAATGGTCTGTCCAACGGGCTCATAAAGTCTAATACGAAGGACCAATGACGCCAGGGCGAGGCTCAAGCCAGTGCAACGATAGTTTCTGGGGGCCGTGATGAAAATGCCCGGCGGAGGGTTTTTGTTTCTCAGAAAAGCTGATAAATATCCGTTTTCCTTGCCAGAGAGTTTGGTTTCGGGATGTTAGAAATGACCGAACGGCGGTGATCCAGACAAGTACTTAATGTTGGTCACAGAATACGATCACTAATCATTCCGCTCATGGTATGAGTCGGCGTCGGGGTCAAGATTCTGCGAACAATTGGCCACCTAGCTCCTGGGAGGGCTTAACTAATGCAAGGGCGCGATATGGTAAATTCGGTTTCATGCTACGGTGTGGCGATAGTCTTAATTAGCCCCATCGCCAATCAAACACCGTACCGGAGGGTTTAATGTTGAGTAATCATAACTCGGATCTTTCGACTAAGGAGGGTTTCTTCGTTGCTTAGTAGAGAACGGAACAAGAACTGCCACGCAACCATGAATGCAGGGTTTGAACAGGCAATGGAGCGTATCCAACGCCATGGATACGCTCGTTCGGGCTGCTTGTATATACAGGTGTACGCCTCTCTTGAGTTTTTCACTGGATTTTACTCTCTTACGCATTTCATAACGTCTCTGTATTCGTCCACCTCTTCCCTTTCACAATGAACACCAGTTCGACATCCGTGGACACAGAGTCCACCACCGCTGACGAAGCACTGCACGCAGCGGAGGACAAGACGGAAAATGTACCCGCCTTTCGTACCAGGACGACGTGGCACATGGCACCAGAAGTGTACAAAATGAGGGAGCGAGATGAAGCAGGTGGTGAGAAGCCCAGGAAGCTCGGCGTGACCTGGGAGAATCTTACTGTCAAAGGCGTCGGCAGTAACGCCACGTTCAACGAAAATGTACTCTCTCAGTTTTTCCCCTTCCATAGGGGTAGCAAAGGTGCTCAGCAGAAGATCATCATTGAAGATTCATATGGATGTGTTAAGCCAGGAGAGATGCTGCTTGTGCTTGGACGTCCTGGCGCCGGCTGCACGACGTTGCTGAACGTCCTCGCTAACAATCGGCGTGGCTACGAGGAAGTCACCGGAGACATCCACTATGGAAACATGTCTGCCGAGGAGGCCACACAATACCGTGGGCAGATCATCATGAACACGGAAGAGGAAATCTTTTTTCCAACTCTGTCTGTCGAGGACACCATTGACTTCGCCGCTCGCATGAAGGTTCCTTACCACCTGCCCCCTGGGATCGAGTCCCATGAGGAATATGTCCAGTCCTACAAAGAATTTCTCCTGCGATCAGTGGGAATATCCCATACCGCGAAGACAAAGGTGGGAGACGCTTTCATCAGGGGTGTCTCGGGAGGGGAGAGGAAACGTGTGTCCATTATTGAATGCCTGACCACCCGCGCGAGCGTCTTTTGCTGGGACAATTCGACGAGAGGTCTCGACGCCAGCACAGCACTCGAGTGGATCAAGGCAATCAGGGTAATGACCGACGTGCTCGGGCTCACGACGATTGTTACACTCTATCAGGCAGGCAACGGCATCTACGAGCATTTCGACAAGGTCCTTGTCCTCGACGAGGGCAAGCAGATCTTCTATGGTCCCCAGCAAGATGCTGTCCCGTTCATGGAAGACCTCGGCTTTATGAGGGACTCTGGTTCCAATCGAGCGGATTTCCTGACGGGCGTGACAGTTCCTACCGAGCGCCTTATTGCTCCTGGATACGAAGACAAGTTCCCATGTACCGCTGGTGAGATCCTGGCCGCGTACAAACGGTCAGCAATCCAGCCCAAGATGCTGGGAGAGTGTCAAAGCTATCCAGTAAGCGAGGAAGCCGCCGAGAACACGGCTGTCTTCAAGGAAATGGTCTCTCGAGAGAAGCACAGGGGTGTGTCTGAAACATCTCCCGTCACTACTGGCTTGATTACCCAAGTGAAGGCCGCCGTTGTCAGACAGTACCAACTTATGTGGGGTGATAAGGCAACGATCTTCATGAAGCAAGGCGCCACAGTCATCCAGGCTCTCCTCGGCGGTTCTCTCTTCTACTCTGCTCCCGATAATTCCGTCGGTCTTTTTCTCAAGGGCGGTGCCCTCTTCTTCTCCATACTCTACAACGCACTCATCGCCCTATCCGAAGTGACCGACTCTTTCACTGGCAGGCCCATTCTAGCTAAGCACCGCTCCTTCGCATTGTACCACCCAGCGGCTATCTGCATCGCCCAAATCGCCGCAGACTTGCCCATACTATTATTCCAAGTAACGCCCTTCGGCCTTGTCCTCTACTTCATGGTCGGCCTGAAGGCCACGGCTGGGGCCTTTTTCACTTACTTGGCTACTAACTTCATGACTGCCTTGGCGATGACGGGTTTCTTCCGCTTCGTCGGCGCCGCATTCCCTACTTTCGACGCTGCGACCAAAGTCTCGGGTCTTTCAATTGTGGCCTTATTTGTCTACATGGGCTACATGATTATCAAGCCCCAAATGCATCCGTGGTTGAGTTGGATCTTTTGGATCAACCCCATGGCCTATGGGTTCGAAGCTCTGCTCGGAAACGAATTTCATGGACAAGAGATACCCTGTTATGGCCCTAACCTTATTCCAAATGGCCCTGGCTACGTTGACGGCGAGGGTGGGCAATCATGTGCTGGTGTCATTGGCGCGCCACCAGGTACGACGAGTTTTACAGGCGATGCGTATCTCGCAGCCATGTCCTTTAGCCATGGCCATATCTGGCGCAACTTCGGCATAAACTGCGCCTGGTGGTTGCTCTTCGTTGCGCTCACCATATTTTTCACTTCCAGGTGGAAGCTGCTGGGAGAAGGTGGCCGCAAACTCCTTATTCCTCGGGAGCAACAGCACAGGTCCAAGCATCTTCTGCAGTTGGGAGACGAGGAAGCGCAAGCTACAGAGAAGTCCGCAGTCAACCCCGGATCTGATGCGTCAGGCGGCAACCCTGGGAATGGCCTCCTCCGCAACCGGAGCATATTCACCTGGAAAAGCTTGACCTATACGGTCAAAACCGCTGACGGTGACCGCGTTCTTCTTGATAACGTACAGGGTTATGTCAAGCCAGGCATGCTTGGGGCGTTAATGGGTTCATCTGGCGCTGGAAAGACGACTCTTCTTGACGTCCTCGCACAACGAAAGACGTCTGGTACTATCCATGGATCTGTCTTAGTCGATGGACGCCCTCTGCCTATTTCCTTCCAACGCTCGGCCGGCTATGTCGAACAATTAGATGTCCACGAGCCTTTGGCGACCGTTCGCGAGGCTCTGGAATTCTCGGCCCTCTTGCGGCAATCTCGTGATACACCCACCGAAGAAAAGTTGCGATATGTGGACACCATCATCGACCTTTTGGAACTACATGACCTCGAACACACTCTTGTTGGTCGCCCAGGGAGCGGTCTCTCAGTGGAACAGCGTAAGCGTCTTACTATTGCCGTTGAGCTGGTCGCAAAGCCGAGTATCCTGTAAGTTGTGACCTCCGGCAAATTACTGTAGCCTCACGCAACTTACTGACACTTGTGTTTGCGTGGACAGCATCTTCCTCGATGAACCCACCTCGGGGCTCGACGGCCAGGCCGCCTACAATACTGTTCGTTTCCTTCGAAAACTAACTGAAGCCGGACAAGCCGTCTTGGTCACTATCCATCAGCCATCCGCTCAACTGTTTGCGCAGTTCGATAAACTACTATTGCTGGCTGCGGGCGGAAAGACCGTATATTTTGGAGATATCGGCCAGAATGCAAACACCGTTAAGGAATACTTTGGTCGCTATGGAGCCCCTTGCCCACCTGAAGCAAATCCAGCGGAGCATATGATTGATGTGGTGACAGGGATGGGAGGTGATGGTCAAGATTGGAGCCAGATCTGGCTACAGTCCCCGGAACATGACAACCTGTCCAAGGAACTAGATACGATGATTGCAGAAGCCGTCGCTCAGCCCCCAGCCATCAATGATGACGGACATGAATTTGCAGCTTCGCTGTGGACGCAAACGAAGCTTGTGACGCACCGCATGAACATCTCGCTCTTCCGGAACATTGAATACCTTGACAATAAATTCGCGATGCATATCAGCCTAGCGCTATTGAACGGCTTTACCTTCTGGATGATCGGAGATGCCCTTACAGATCTGCAGCAGAACCTATTCACCGTCTTCAACTTTATTTTTGTTGCGCCGGGTGTCATTTCCCAGCTCCAGCCTCTGTTCATAGACCGCCGCGATATCTATGAGGCGCGGGAGAAGAAGAGCAAGATGTACCACTGGGCTCCCTTCGTCACCGGGCTCATCGTCTCAGAATTTCCCTACTTGCTTGTTTGTGCATTGCTGTATTATGTCTGCTGGTACTTCACTTGCGGCCTTCCTACCTCGGCAGACCATGCTGGCAGTGTCTTCTTTGTTGTGGTAAGCCTCCACCCACTCCCCTTTATGGGTACAACAGCTTACAGTGTTCACAGGTAATGTACGAGTGTCTTTACACTGGTATTGGACAAATGATTGCTGCTTATACCCCCAACGCCGTCTTCGCATCACTCGTCAATCCTCTGGTCATCACAACTCTTGTCTCATTCTGCGGCGTTATGATTCCATACAGCCAAATTGTGCCGTTCTGGAGATATTGGTAAGCTGAATTCGCATTTTGTCTGACCAGTCTAGTTCTGAGCGCTTGCTAACTGCCGTCCTCTACAGGATGTACTATATCGACCCCTTCAACTATCTCATGAGTTCCCTGCTGGTCTTCACGACATGGGACAAACCGGTTCAGTGTAAGCCCGAGGAACTGGCTATATTTGCCCCTGCTCCAAATCAGACTTGTGGCGAATACCTTGAGATCTACCTCCGCGGCATGGGGGCGGGCGCGAATCTTCTCAACCCGGACGATACCACTGACTGTCGTGTGTGCCAGTACACCGAAGGTAGCAATTACCTCCGCACACTGAACCTAGCAGAAGAATCTTATGGATGGAGGAACGCGGGCATTGTCGTTGTCTTCGTGGTTGGTATCTACGGGCTGGTGTTCCTCATGATGAAACTCAGGACCAAAGCCACCAAGAAGGCCGAGTCTTAGAGAGGCGCCCTCAGAAAAGGAAGCATTATGGTAGTCTTCTCACTTCAACTACTTTCGGCATCTTATTTTTCCACCCTTTTGGGCAAGTATATTCTCAATTCACTTTTATAGGTTCGCCAGCAGTACGATCTATCCGTTCCCCTGAATGGGACTGGAGGAGAGTCTTGCTTTCTTTTACCTCTGTCTTTGTTGCAATTACTCCGTTTAATAGACCATAGATAATAATTCTACTTATCAGATTAGTCTCTTTAAGTCTATTAAATAGTATAGGTTTTATTAAGATTAGCTATAGTTATAGTGTTAACCTGATCCTGTGAGTCCATTCAGAGAAAACTGTATACACCCGTGTGATTTTATGGTTGACCATGAACTGCAGGAATTTGCTATGGAATAACACTTGCCGCGTCCTTTGCCTGAACGGAAAACTCTTGCAGGGCCATACAACCAACCTTTCCAATGTCGAGAAAGTCGCCGTATAAAAAGCTGTATTGAACTGGATGATATTGGGGCCATTGACGGCGTTCACCCTCTTCTTCTCGTTATGCTCTCTGGCAGATTCTATCCAAGCCTTCCACGCTTCTTCCTTCACAAGAAGTTCTTCCACACACTTGAGCTTCTCTTTTGGCACTTCTTTATGGGAATAGACCGAGTTTTAACATCAGGTTCGATCTCGAATGTTGAGTTTGGGCCTCGCCTTATATATCATTTTATATGCGAGGCACCTTCTTGGAAATGCTCTGTTTCACCAACTTATCCACCCATAGGTACACCCGAACATTGACAAGTAACATCAAGATAGAACGACAGCTCATGTGTCAGGCAAGGCCTTTGGAGTACGGGACGTGATGGCTGGGCAAACCGGAGCGAACCTCTGTGGACAGTATCGGAGGTACCTGTAAAGAGGACAAAAGATCGGGGCTAAAATTGATGTAAAAACGGAAACTGGAATGCACAGTATTGTCCTCAAAGGACCGCTCTATCTTAATACGAGAATCCGATGGTATGTACGTGAGATAAATTCTCCCCACGGGGTCATCAGGCAAGTCCCTAGATTGTGGAGTCCTTCAACAGCTGCAGTTGAAATGCCACAGTATCTCCGATAATTTCGTCCAATCCTCGTAGCTTGAGACTGAGGCCTTTCTCTGCTTTGGTCGTGTTGACGTTCCAACCTTGACCTACCGCCTTCTCCTTGAGCTTCCAGCTTTCTCCCGGGAACTTCTTCACCAAAATGGCCACAATGTCAGACCATCTAACACCACCGGGGGAACTGACAAGGTATCTGCCAGCCAAGACGCCGGGTTTCAAAGCCTTGACATGCGCCTCGGCGACGTCGTTGACGTGTACAAGTGTCAACGCACTAGGATCAGGTACAACCTCCCCAGTCATGACCGCGCTGAACAGCACCCCATTACTGACACCTACTTCGGCCGGAGAGGACTGGAGAACGTCCGGTCCACACACCAAGGAGGGATGGATTGTGACGATGTCGAAGCCTGGGCTAGTGGTCGAGACGAAGGATTCAGCTGCCTGCAGTGCCAGCAGCTTGCTGGCCTGGTAGAGAATCAGAGGATTTGCCGAGGATTCAAAGATTGGAAGATCAGCAGAGATGGTAGTGTTCCAATTGTCATTGTGCTCGCTGATTGGATCATCCGAAGGCACACCACCAAGAGGCATCAAAGACGCAATTGAAGAGGTGATGACGACCCTCTTGATGCTCGCAACCTTGGCCGCCTCAGACAGAATAGCCGTAGTCCCGCTAATAGCGCCAGGGAAGTAGTCCTCCTTCGTCATTCCCTTAGGTAGAGGCGAAGCAATATGCAGAACATAGTCCACTCCGACCAGATGCCCAGCGAAGGCGTCTGGTCTGGTAATGTCATGAACAACGATAAACTCCACGTTTTCCGAGTAAGACGAGAGGGCCGATCTAATCTTTGGGATCTGAGCTTCATTTCGGACGCTCAGACGAAGCCGATACCCTGCTTTCAGAGTTTCGAGCGCTGTGGCACAACCGATGAACCCGGAGGCTCCGGTAACGAAAACAAGTCCTTCCGACATTATAGATAGGGGTCAACGAAGAGAGCAAGTAACCGGACGTTCAAAGGTCAAAAACTGATGATGCTCAAGACCTTGAGATTTGAGGAATCTGTAATTGCCAACCAGCCAGCCTGACCAGGACAAACTGCATTTAAGTAACGGATGGTGGCATGTACTCAATGTGAGTAGTAAGTCAAACTCTCCTCGAGCCTTAACTCCGTTGAATAAACGCCGTCTCGGCTGATTAGACTGACCGTCCCAGTGTCTGATGAGTGATTGACGGAACGCGCCTATCATGACTACTTGGAGACGGATTTCTTAGGGTCTCGGCGTTCTTCCTAATTTTGTCGGATCCAGAAGAGATTAAGGTTGGAGTCTTCTGGGCGATATGACTACTTTAGATGAGGCATTTTCGGCTTACTTTTAGGGTTGAACTATAAATCGCACCTCACCTTGATTTTGATTATTCAACATACATCCATAATCCACAGCGAGTGAGACTCCCCAAATAACGATACTGTAAGGCCAGATATATGCTATTCTAATTTCAGCCACCAAGAGCTGGGTTCCCTTAATTCTGAGGGAACATGCTTTATTCAAGGTTGAGGGATAACCGTCGAGATTATAAGCTATCTAGACCACGGTCTCCATGCTTTACCATAAAATACAAAGAAATTTTGGCGGCCGGGACACGACTATGTATGTTACTATCCTTTCGGAAAAGAATTTTCCTATACCGTAGAAATAGGCCACGTTTGCTCTCAACACCATATAACTTGTTATGCAGAGATGTGGTTGTCAAGATATGAAGTGATTTAATATGGTGTTTTGGGGTTTCCATGCTCCCTTCAGGTATGTAGCAGTATGATCACTAATCACACATATACGCCTCAATTTTGAAAGGAGGCTTAGTGGATAGCCCAATATCTTCAGAGACTCCTCCCTCCAACCTAGGTGACCCAAGCGGTGGCAATGTCAGGGCTGGAAACGGCGATAGAAAGTCGTACAGTACAGGCTCATTGATCCTTGGGGTGTTGCCATATCGTACGCCTCAAATTAATCTGGAGTTCTCGGGTTCTAATCGGATCGCACTTTATTTCCGGCCTTCACCATCCAGGTCGCCATATAGCGCACCCTCCCGGTTGATCCACCTTTCAGTCTTCAAATTCTGCTGACGCCGCTAGTCTGAAGACCTCACTGAACTGCGAATATTATATATCTGCTTACATCCGTTTATCTCCGGCGATCTTCCTCTCCTGGTGACGATAAAAGGACGCTTCGTCAGGGTGAGAAGAGGAATCAGCAAATTGATCAAACGATATCTGAACATCCGTCTGCAGCCAAGATTTTGTACCTTCTGTGAAGTGAGACTGAACAAATTGAAGACAGCGGCAATGCAAAGATCACTTGTTACAGGAGGCTCCGGCTTCATTGCCCTTCATGTGATAAAGTGTCTGCTCGAAAGGGGTGATCTCGTCAATACCACTGTCCGCAGCCTGAAGAACCTTTCGAAGTGCAAGCCCCTGCTTGATATGCAACAGACGTATCCAGGCAGGCTGAAACTCTTTCAGGCTGATTTGATGGAGGATGGATCTTTTCTGCAAGCGATGGAGGGCTGCGAGGTTGTCTACCACGTCGCCTCGCCGTTCTTAGTCCCACAACAAATCAAAAACGGCATGAAAGAATGCGTCGAGCCTGCTCTTCAGGGCACCTATAATGTTCTACAGACTGTGAACAAGACTGAGAGCGTTGAACGCGTCGTTTTAACATCATCTAGTAAGTGGAACTTCCGATCTGTTGCTCTAAGCGTATGCCTAAGCCATAACGCCTTTACTAGTCGCGGCCATGTACGGTGATAATTGGGATATCCTCAAGATGAAGGACAAAACATTGAGTGAAGACTATTGGAATACGACAAGCACTGCTACCTACAGTCCTTATAGCTACTCCAAGCTAGTCGCTGAGCGTGAGGCATGGAAAATATGTGACGCTCAGGAACGCTGGGACCTTGTGGTTATCAACCCGGGCCTCGTCCTCGGTCCGTCACTCACCTCCGAATCCGCATCCGGTAGCCTGTTCATGCTGGACGCTATGTACAAGGGCGAAAATCGCTCCGGTGTTCCGGAACTACACTACCCTGTGGTAGATGTGCGGGATGTAGCCGAGGCGCACATCAGAGCAGGAAAAAGTCACTCTGCCAAGGGGAGGTACATCATCGCCAGCGACCGCAGCATTTGCTTGCTGGATATGGCAAATTACGTGAGGGGAATACATCACAAGCCCGAATCGTTGCCCACGCGCAATCTTCCGAAACTTTTCGTCTTCGCCGCAGCACCCTTCATCGGTCTGCCCATGAAATGGGTGTCACGAAACATCGGCATCTCCTACAAGGTCAACAACGGCAAGAGTATCAGGGAGCTGGGGCTCTCATACCGTCCAGCAGAGCAGCTGCTGAAAGATCACTATTTGTCGTGGCAAAATCAGCACGCTGGCAGGTGACCTTTAGGGGCGTTATCGAAATGAGTGGCCACCACCGTCGCCGTCTGTATCTTCTGTTGTTGCTGTAGTTTCATAGTCGTTATTGCTGTTGTCTTCTGCTTGGACAACTTGATATCTTATTCTCAGATTGTACTTGATAATACACTGCTTCTGGTAGTTGGGTTTGGCTCGTTTCACCTAGCTTTGCTCTTGGTGGTCGCTGCGTCGCCATTACGTTTCACACCACTTTTGTCCAGTGGGTTCAATGTAAAAGCTAGAGGAACACGAAGTTATTGCACAAGTAGTGGAGAAGAGAGCGGAAGGGACAAGCCAGTATGGGCAAAAGAGGACGATGGCCGTGACACCCAAAACAGGTCTCTAAGCAAAGACAACTCCTCAAGAAACCTCAAATGAGGTTTAAGCCTTTCTATGGCCTGAGATCTGTATTCACCACTAAAAGCAGTGCATTGTTACCTCCCGTAACCACTGGGATGCGTATGGGGTTTCCTGAGGCAGAGACCTTGGTGTTCTTCTCCGAACACGTTTATTTAGACTTCAAAAAGGCTCCGAGTCCATAGCCAGCTTGCATAGAGTGGGCCCGGAGTTTATGGCAAAGCTCGTTCCATGGCCAAACGACATGACCCTTCCCATTACTAATTCATGATTATTCAACGCCCCGAACCTCGGGTACAGACTTAAAACAACTCAAGTGGTTTCTGCCTCAACTGATAATCAGGCTTTATTTTCCTAGGGAAATGTACGGAGTTAACGGATATGGCACCTGAAGACTAGATTCAAATGATGCGCTGCTCACGGTGCAGTCATTTAAAGCACGCTGCGTACAAATCCTCGTATATAAAGCCCTTCAAGTTGGATTACCAGTCTCCCTGGTACATGCAGCGTGTATGGCTAGTGACTGTGAGCAGACAACTGCTTTATGCGCTGGGAATCTGGTCCTGTTGCAAATGATGGTAAGGTCGGAGAGCTCCCTTCGTTCTCGCACTCTGGCATCGATCAAGGACAGCTCTTTGAATTTCGAAGTAGTATCTAGCTTACCTCATAAGGACATCCAAGGCTTTCCGGTCGCCGTAACGATCGCATAGCCGCGGTTCCCAGGGTGCTTGATGAAGTCTTGCCGCGCTGGTCCGTCCACTTGTTGACAAGTGAAAATGGGTGTCTTCAACCCATACCATGTAATAATGCTTTCGCAACGTCCTCATTGTTCAACGACATTATATTGCTTCATAGGAGATGGATTTTATCTAATGATGCTTTCCAATGGGTATCTGTTTCGACCAGTCCCTACAGTTCATAGGCTTGGTCAGCTCCCGCGCGTTTTGGCGGCCTAGCACCGCAGTATCCTGCCCCTTCGAACTGGCCGAAACCAAAAAGCTTCCCTCTGGCGAAACCCCCGGTTAACTAGCCTGTCAAACAACCACTTACTAGGAAAGGCCATGAGTGACGGTTCATACCGCAACTAAGTTGACAAGTACAGCGTGTTGCTGGTTAATATCAGCCGTCGTTAGGTACTACCTTACCGAACATTCTAATTTTTTATAGACTCCTTTGCCCGGTTCAAACTGTGCTAAATGCCCACTGCACGGACTCTTGACCTGGTCATTCATGGATCAGTGACTGTACCTAGACTGGTCGTGGATTGGATATGGATTGATCTGCAGGATGTTTGATCCAACCCATAACTAGATCAGCCTCACCCGGGGCCTATGCTTAGTGGCCAAGCAGAACTGGCCGGAGCTGCGCATGGGCCCACCCAGAAACTTAACACAGTTCAGCTATGCAACATGGTAACTGGAGCATATACCTGTGGGAATCATTTCGCTCCATCTCCATCTCGCCAGCGCGCAGCCGACTGTGCTCACCGTGCCTGGTGGCATTCTCCCACGGTGCATACAACGCCTTAGCGCAGCTGGTAGGCTACCATGAGGCCTTCAACACTTATCCAGAGGTGCTCCATCAGCAACCCATCAGAGCCAAATACTGGTGGAGCAGAAGGCTGCCCTGGATATTCTGAAGCAGATGTACATGCGGACACTGTATATTATCCAATTTTCTGACAAAAGGTGAGAGGGCCCCCTCAATGTACAGGCCAAGCTGGAAGACGCAGCAATCATGGTGTGGCCTGAGTGTCTGTCTGGGGGTTTCCTGGGCACCCTAGAAAGCAGTGGTATGTACTCGACTCTGTTGTATGTGATCCTGCCCTACTTTCATCTTCTCTTCTCGCTTCTCAAATCCTTCAGGTATATCAAGGAGGGGTTTGGTAAAGAGATATCGAAGATCAAATTATTAGTGAATTCCTCAGCGGGGGCGGACTTGATCTCATTGATGCAGTGGCCTGTGTCTGTTATGGCTATCTAATCCGAAGCCATAACAGAAATCCATATGTACAACAGTAAATTATCCCTGAGCTGGTTGCAGTGAAGCCTTGTATCTGGAACACTGGGGACCATTGAAGGGGGCGTGACATGATCCGGCCGAGAAAGCATTGCAAACAGACATTCTACTCAACAGATTATAATACGATGGAAAGACTCCACAACACACGTTAGTGATCACTAGACTTCGCCCATGAGAGGGATTCTTGGGAGATCTAGGCCAGGGACAATGAAGAAGTGAAATAAATACATTAGCCGCCTATTAGTTCCCTGCCTGGAGCCACAGCTTTACCGCACCAACCATCGCTAATTAGCTTCGGTTTGACGTAGCCCGTTTCCAGTTGTAGGTGCACAGCATAAGACTGGATTTGCAGTCAAAGCTTCCCCAAGTATACCTGGCATCATCATGATGTACATCTTTCTTTTACTCTTTTTTGTTTCCTCGACACAGATCTCCCATTAGTGGAACCTGCTCATGGTGTTTCTTTTCTAGGCCGTTATTGTTATAGGTCCTCACCTTTTTCAGCAAAAGCAGAACTATATTAAACTTTTTATTACAGTATCATGATAGGCAGCCCTAACAATCAACCTGGGTTTTGTAATCTATGATGCCACAATTACATGGCGTACAAGACTGGACGTTTTAAAATACAGTATGGGATTAGGCAGGCCAGCACGCTCTCTCCCATAGTCGCACTTACAAAGAGACATTTAAGCCGACTACACACTCGAACATAAGTGATGTCCCAAAACTCACCTAACTGATCTTACATTTCGTTAATAATCAACCGCGTTGATTAACATCATTTAGAAGGCACGTGGCTATGGCAACCATAAATCTTCCGCCTGGCTTCCAGTACGATCAGGTCCAGTTCTATAAGAAGCGAGTTCCGCCACGCACACAACCAACGCCTTTAGGTGCGCTGGCAAAGCTCGCTGGAAGCTTCACTGGAACAGGCTTTAATACAATCTTTCGCCCGAACAGCGGACCACCACCACTCGGAACAACATTCCCCAATCCTGTCTCTCCAACTCCTCCAGTGTTCCCCAGCGACAACGTCTTGGAGTTGAACCTGACAAAAGAGACAGTGACATTCTCTCAACCACTTTCTGCTGTGCCCAATCGCGGATTTGGGTCACAGAACGACATTTTTCTCAATGGCGTGCCTTATGTACAGGCTGTCAATGATGTAACAAACATGGAGACCGGAAGCGCTGATGGCAATGCCACTGGTATTCACTTCGAGACTGGATTGTGGATGAACATCCCGGCCACAAACAATAGTCCAGTCCTTGGAGATTCGCTTGTACGCATGGCGTCCATTCCGCATGGCACAACTATCAATGCTCAATGCCTAGCGCCTACAAGCACTTTCCAAGGTCCACCACAGATATCACCAGTCAGCTTGAAGCCTTTCGGCGTTGGAAACATACATTCAAAAATTGAGCTTAATAGCCTAAATGTTCAAGACTCTACTACTCCTCGGCTCCCACAGGATCTCTCAAAGTTTAATGCTGCTGGCACTATCACCCAAGATATCCTGGATGATCCGAATACCGTTTTGCGCAACAGCATCAAAGGACAGAATATTACCCAGACCATCGTCTTTACTGTGTCCACGGATCCTCCGCTTCAAGAGTTCGGTGGTGGGACGGCGAACATCGCATTCTTATTAGGCAATCCTGGGGCCACGGCGCCAAATTCAAACGCGTTCCAGATGAAAGCTACCTTTTGGATTGAGACGGTGGGATATTCTCTCACAGTTCCAGTTTTCAAACCTGGACAAGCACCTATGGAAATCTCAGCCCCAGAGTCACTATCAGGTCAGCCGCGGCCAGTGTTCCTCGTCAGCCCACCATATGAGATCACTTCGCCCAAAAAGATCAATGTCACTTCAACACAGATCCAGTATTCTCAGGTCGTATTCATGAACTTTGACGGTATAACCTGGCCGCATGTCTCAGTATCGACGCTGATTCCATCGACGCCTGTGCCAGTCCCAGATTCAGTCTGGAGTTGATGGGCAATTGAAATTGCAATTATGAGTGTCCCATAGTGTTGTGCTATCCACAATCTACCTTTATTGGAGATTCCCATTTATCTGTTTTCATGCCGCCTACCCAAGCTACAAGCCATGAAGGAATACTTGCTAGCCATAGCATTCTTTTGCGCGTGGCCTAAACCATCAAATTATCCCGGTGAAGTGGATAATCAACCCACTAGCACTGCTACTTGATAATGGCTGTGCCCTGCTCCCAAATTTACCTACTGTCGTATCCGGGTATTGTGTACTGTTGGGGACAGTACTCCGCGATCTTTGGATTAGTCAGTTGATTCTGTTCAGCGTTCGTCTCCTAATTTCCACAGTAGCATGATTACCAGTCTACTCAGTGCATGGATGAAAAAATCTCGTTCCATGGACAACTAAATGAGGTTGGAACTTGGAAATGAAATTAGGTCATTGAAAACGGACACAATACCAGAAAATATTAGATTAGGTCACCTGTGAAGTTCTCTCAGTTCTCCCGATGTTGAACCGGGGTTTCAAGCCAACCCAGGTCAGGCTGTATATTTATAACTGATTTATGGGGAAGTTGCCTGTGCGGCATGGTTAATCATAACGGCTCCAGAACTGGACTAAGGCAAGCGACAACCCTGGTCGTTAGCGTCTACTCAAATGTCCAGACTTAAAATATATTTGGTAGAAGCATCTTTCCTAGGCCCATCGTTTCAGGCGGTAAAATAAATGAGTAAAAATCCGATTGGGCAAAAGTATCGAACGATACACCTGGCAGGAACGTACAGAACACTTTCCTCAGAAGGTGTCAAGGTGAAGGTATAAGTGGAAATAAAACCGCGATGGACGAATATCCCACTGTGTTGTAAGTTATATAGTTTAAATTAGGATATAGTAGCATATAGATGGACTACAATGAGGGATCCTAGTCCATCATCGTCTCTAGTATGAGTCCATGAAGTCATGGGATCTAATAGAATGATACTTAGTAGGGTGCACAGTACACTAGATAACAAGAGTATCTTGTGGTGGATGACAGAATCATCTTACCTCACTAGCAAGGAGCATCACTTTATGAACCACTTTGAAAACTAGTATTACATTCAGCATGGTCATTACGAATTTTGCAGTTTATTTCTCAAACGGCATATAACACATTCCCTTCTTGATCCTACCTTACAAATGACCTATTCCAGACTGTCAATCTGAGTTAAGTGGTCCTGGTACCCCTCTCCTGAGAAGCCCATACATCCGGACGGTTTGCCATATTGCTGTCTCTCACGGAGATATACCTGTTCCAGAGGGCTATAATCTGCTTGTAGGTCACTTCTCTAACTCCTGCTTTCAGTCCACTCTCGCAAAATTCAATATCATCGCGAACTTCCTTGAGGCTATGAGCATAGTTGATTAATCGCATAGGCTGCCCTTGACCCTTGATCAAGGATAGCACACCAGTGATGAGTGCAGTAATGGCGCCTAGGACAGCGACGACAATATGATGGTCTCCGCTAATTGCAGAAATAATGACCAGAGTTGAGGAGATTGCTAGCTGAAGAGCGAGGCATGCATACACAAGTATTTCAAATGTGTATAGCTGTCGCAATGTCGACTTCTCCTCCCTGAGGATCTTTGGGTATATGGCCATGGCATCTTGAGGTTCGCGATAATCTGATTTCATCCACTGCGGGACCCAGGGGTACCATATCCTTCGGGTTGGGCTGGTTCTGGCTGTTCTGCCATCGGTTCCTAGCAAAACCTGAAAATCGGCCAGTCTAATAAATGTGTCGTCACCTGGTACCGCCTGTGGCTGTGATACCACGGCTGAATTAGGAGTGCGGTCTCTGTTGGCAGGCGAAGCAGCGTCGGCAGAGCTCATATTGAAAAGGAGAGAGTAATCTTAACAGCTTGCTTCGGACGTTCTGGGCGCAAATTTGCGTTCTATATACAGCAGTAATGGAACTTCCCCCATTAATAGAGAAAGGAACTGGTTCAGTAGATGTAGGATTAAGTCTTTTTATAAAATCAGAAGACCTATTCTATGCTCGCCACAAAGCATACGCGCCACTGCTTTATCATAGTATCACCTCGGTAAGGCCCTGTTACGCAGCAATGGTTCGCCCGCCTATTGACAATTGATTATTCTCTCTTATTCCATCTTAGTCGCTTAGAGAGATCAAGAGTTAATTGGGCATTTTACCACTAGGCAATGGATGTGTAACGGTAGAATCTGTCGTAACCATGTACATAGGAGTGGTGTAATTCTCTTTCCTTTCCTCTTTACTGGCAGTCTATCCAGCTGAGAAGGATAATGCTGAGCACTCCCAGTGCGCACAGAGTTTAACACAGCTATCTGCTTGCAGTAATTGCTATGTCATATACTATAAGTTTTATGGTCCATCTTCTCTTTCTGCCTCTTGGGGATGCAACTATAGTGAAAAGTCCACTGGTGGCGCCTAATGCTGAGAGAGTTTGAGGTTGGACCTAGAATATATGTTTCCATGGAACCTTTACTACAGGACTACTATTACTTATTTGGAGCTGTGGTTGGTTAATTAAGAATAGGCCTCGCCGCAAACTATCATTCTATTAAGGTTTAATCTAAGCTTATTGTTAGTCTAGAGCGCGGAAACTTGTGTCATCTGAACATAATGGGGACAACCATGGTACGCATAGCTTATAGTAGTATCTAGCCTTTAATCAAACTATTGCTGCCCCCCCACCCACGTACTAAAAGTGCCTCTTTAAACAATAACTGAGCATGAAAATAATATCATTAACTTTTCCCTTCTCATCTGAAAGTATCATAGTCGCAAACGGAAGTAAAACCCTAAAAACCTTTGAGGTCATCATGACTCCAAAGTGCTATCACCACTTATTCATGTATTCTCTAATGTATTCTCGCTATTTCGTATGTTTGTCCTCGAAAGGCATAAATAGAGGCTACTTTCCCGGCATAGAAGCTTTT